CATGATACATAAATGTAATAAGTTCTTAACGGAACAGCATAGTAATGGTATATAAAATCTTAAGCAAGTATGACTAGAAAAAATTATAAAAATGTGCCAAATAGTGACTGGCCTGGAAATCATACAGCGCATGCTGAAGCAAGCTTATTATTCAAAAAACATGAAAAACAAGGCATTCCAAAGGATCAGGCAACAATTGGCTGTGAATACGTATTACCTCCACCTGAAGTATTAATACGAAGAAATTATTATCTCGTTCAGATTGTTGTATTAAACTTTTTAAAGAAGTTCTTTAATTAGAGTGAATTTCATAATATTTCTTGAAACTTCTTTTAACGTTATTCCATATACCGTTCTGAATTCTATAAAAAAAGTTGTAAATATGATTATTAGATCATGTTTGATTTTTATCAAAATTACTTCACAGCTTTTACATAATTATTTAACAATACAGTTATAAAAACTTTTAAAACTTTGTTTAACTATTTCCTACTAGTTAATTACGTAATTTTCTTATAACTAATCTAGAATCTTCCTTCGAATCTTTCCCAATTATTTCATGCTATTCAACCATATAATCCAGCTACACGGTCGTTGAACTCGTAGTTTCATAGTTTTCCACGGGAGCTACATTTTCGCATCGCTTTTTTGAGATCGAATGATAATTAAAGGGCAGAGGAGCACGGTGTGTCACTGACGACAAAATTACGGCAGATCCAGGGTCCGTTCGAAGGAAAGATTTTTCACCGTGATTACCACACCGGTTGGAGTCATCCATTAAATCAGTGGTGCGCAACTCGTATCGTGCCTGACGATAATTTACGAGCACGCTTATTAATCTTGTAATAGCGGCGCTGGTTGAACCGGAATCGACGCTTATTTTGTAACACAGAATTCACTGAACAGTTGTAGCAATACATTCTTATATACGTATGCGTGTCCTATGTGTGTACGTACATTTATGAGGTAGATAGAGAATTCACAAACTCATCCGACCCATGAAAACTTGCGCATGTAACTTACCGGGGAGAAATTTTCTTTGTTCATAGTGTGGCGTTTCATAATCGTTACTTAATTTACACGTTGGAAAATCCAACCGATTTACGCAACAGAAAATGCTTCTTCCTTTTCGCTTTCTAAAAAAGAGACAAAATTTGAAAATAAAATTTTTCCTTTGTCTGAAATAACCGATGATAAGCAATGCGTATTATGCAGTTCATAAATATGATATAAAGATTTACATATGAACATAATGCGAGAAGTTGACTCAGAAGTGACCTCGAAGTCGTCATTAAAGAAAAGTTAGAAACAAAACGAGTTTTAGTAATACTTTTCACTTATATGTATTTCTTACCATAATCTTTTTTATAATATAAATTGCTTAAACTTCTTTCTTTATTTCTATGTCATTTTTTATGATAGAATAATTTCTTATTTCTATAATATTTATAGAATATAATACTTTTTCACGTTATAAAAAACAAATAACTTTTGTTATATAATATATTTTTACGGATAAGGGTATTCTATTACCCTTATAAACAGAATAATTATTAAAAATATTACTTTCATTCAATTACTAAAGTTCAGTAAATTCAAAGTAGGTTAAGGAATATAAAATAAAAAAAAAGGCAAAAACAAATCAAGTAGCTGGTGAAATAAGCAACACCTGAACATTCTTTCAACCGCGTTTCTGTTTCTGAAACTAGTTCTGCTCATATCATGGGAGTTTGTGCACCGCTGAGCCCAGTCGACCGATATCAAACGTCGATAGACTGGTAATATGGCGTTTGTAGCCGCAACGAGACACGTGTGTGCGAAAGAGGAAACGAGAGGAGCGATTTACCTGGACGAAACTCGCTGCCTGGCAACCAGCTCGCCATCAGGCGACTGGAATATATTGTTGGTTCGTTGCAAAAGATATGGAAATCGCTCTTTCTAACCTCAGCTTTGGTGATATTGCACCTCCATTAGAAAAGCTTTTAATCAAACTTTGAACTTTTTCTGTCTGGACTACTCGCATGATGTGATACGTTGATATAACAGCTTTTGAGACACTTATTTCTAGCGAAATTTAAAAATTAATTTCTAGAAGTTTAAAATTTGTATTCCTTCTTCTTTATAGTAACCGAGTTTCCGTCCTGTAATTAAATTTGGAATCACGCAATTATATTTCAAACCCAATTGTTAATATTCAAACAGCGGAAATGATTAATTGCGCTTCACCTTCATTTTAATGTTAAATGGTTAACAAATGGTTCAGTAAGGAATATCATGCTTCGGATAAATATCATCCTACGTAATGGTAAGCGTGTTAATGCTGATTGCAGGCCGTGTAACAGTTCACGACACTCGCACCGGTATCCAGGAGAACCACGTGCGTGTACACATCATGAATACTTAAAGTCTATGCGAATAACTTCTAATCACTTGATTCGTATTCTTAAATCAGTCATCGCTCAAATTCAACTCCCAATACTGTAAAAAAAAAAAAAAATAGTATAATATTAAAAATATAACCAATATTTGAACTAAATTGACTCTTATAAACTATTCTTTGAAACTAATAGATTCTATAATTTGATTAGGTTATGCTTGTTTTTGCATTATTTAGTTTACCTAAAATTAATTGTACCTCATTATGAAATTGTTAATTCTCATAAATGCAAAAATAAGTCGATAATTTTCTAAAGAAGAATAGCACCAGGAATACGTTTATGGTCTTTTTACCTTGCATATTAGCTTCTTTATAATACCATTACACTCGCACAACATTCCATTCATAACAGAGATTCATCTTGCAAGAACCAAGCCATTAAAATAATTACTTTCTTCCTTGGTTCGTACTGCATAACCTGTTTAAAAGAATATTTGATTCGACCAACGTAGTATTTTGTTCAGTAGATTCAAATTCAAATTACTAAGACCTCACCTAACTTTATTAACACGAATTATTAATATCTCTGCGTTTGATTTGTCTTTGAATTTATCAACGGCAACGAATGACGAAGATAGTCAAACGCCCACGCTTGTACATTAGAATGTAGCTATAAACGTGATCATGCACGCATGCGAACAGTATTCTTCGTAGGCTACGATGGAAAAAGAGCTTTCTCGGTATAAATAAAGTGGTTTCTCACGACACAGATGGAAAATCCACTGAGGGAAACGTGGGCGAAATTTTATGTTATCGATTCTCGAATCGGACTACACGGACCCACGCTGAATCGCATAACAGCTGTCATTCTTTTACTGCTATACAATAACTTGCTATCTTTTTATTAATGCTCAAATAACTACTTACTCTACTTTTGTTCCTAGACCTTCGTTTTGTTGAAATTGTAATCTGTTTTATTTGCTTTGTTATCGATCCATTTGCATTCAGGTGTTGATCTTTCTAGCATAATTTATAAATATCTTTGAAAAACTTGTCATGACACAGCAGTAGTTTAAATAGATATGATTCTTTATCCTTGTCTTACAGTTGAATGTAATTAATAGGTTAGATGATTGGGAAATGTATAAAGTAAAAGTTAGTAACATATAAATGTGATGGATTACAAATTGATTGTTAATATCTATTCCTTATTTTCTAATTGTCATTAGAAAGCTGAAATATGTAAAGTCTAATTAAGATAGCTGTTTATTTTAAAAAGTTTAGAAATGTTTACCTAAATTTAACGTCAATATTCCTTGTAAATGTTACTCTGCATTTATCTTGTTATTTGTTTGTATAATGAAATTTGAAACCAATGATTATAGACTATAGCTGTTTACTGTGTAAGAAAGAAAAATATGGTAAACAAAAACACCATGTTACAAACTTACCGAAGCCGAGTGTCATCGACACGCAAACATTACAATCTAACGGGTATTCGCTCCTCGTCGGTAAATCAGTTTTTCCCTTTTTATCTTGCGAGCAGTTGGAAAGGATCCGGTTGAACTACTCGGATTTCTTCGCCAACGATTAAAAGTCCCGGTGTATTCGTGCTCCATGAAAAAGGAAATGTGTGCATGCTGAATGTATTATATACAATCTATATTTACGGTAACGGGAATATGTTGTGCGTTAAAGCTTCGTCAAAAAGATGGTTTTCTTGATAAAACGTGAAATTTAACGGCGTCTACGAAATTGCTTCCTTCACGTGCTTAATTATTATCGGAAACTTGTTACAACATAAAAATTATTCTACGACTTTATGCGTAATTCTGCTTTTCAATACGTTCTATTCGATTTGCTTTCAAATAAGCATATGACCGCGTAAGAAACTAATAATCATTTCATGTAAGTATGCAGCGTTCTAATTGTATTTTCTATTTTCAAGATTCAGAAGATTATTTAGTACAAAAATATTAACACAAATTTGTTACTTGTAGAAAAATATTTCTTCAGCTTTCTTTCCAATATTGATTTGCTTATACCAATGAAGTATATTTCCGACAAATAATAAGGGTATATTATCGACTTCATATTAGATGCTGCTACTGCTAAAGTCAAAAATTGAACAAACTTTTTATACTACTTTATGAAAACTATTATAATTATTTAAATTATATTAAATATCTGCAATAAGACATTAAACGTGTCGGTATATTATTTTGTAAACTAACATATACAAATACATGTATCAATGTCTTTATCAGAATAATAATGAGGCATTGTTATCAACACAATAATAAACGAAAAACAGGTAGCCAATTTATCTTTTCAATACAATCTTCGAAATATATATGAAGATTTTCATTTTTGTACGATATTGATAAAAATGTTTAATTACTTATTATAAATACTTCAACTACTAAAAAATACATTTATTAACAGTAAAATACAAATTTTGAACATGGTGGTATATGTCAACTTTTAATTCTGGAATTCAAATATGCTTATTTTGGTTACGATGATGAATAAAGTCATTTTTCATTATTATATAAGATTACGTTGTGCAGTACTTCTGTTAATTAATAAATATATTTTTTAAATGTCAAAAATCTTTTTCCAGATCAATAATTACGCAATTTGAATCGTTCCCTAATTCTGAATCACAAAAATAATGGCAAGGCAACAGACAGCCGACAGGAATATTCCCCATCTTCGAGATATCTTCGGATTTGGCAACAAATGGGAGAATACACGACTCCAAGCTGAAGAGAAGGCTCCAGGACACGACAGCGCTGTATCTGTTGGTTCAACTTCCGGCGAGGAGGAGAGTCCCAAGAATAGCAAGAAGAAGAAGTCACGTCGTCGCGATAATAGTAAAACTTTAACGGAAAGCGACGTGAAACACCTAGAAAGACATTTGTCTATGAAGAAGACCATTCGTAAAAAAATCATGCGCGATTTGCAACAAGCGTTTGTTGAGGACCCGAACGAATTCCGGGTAGACGATATCCCACCCGAACAGCTTAAGGCAGAAATCAATATTCAGAGTCTGAGCTTTGGGACACCATCGCAGAAGCAGGGACGTACACGTGGTAATGCGGAAAATACGTTCCTAGACATGCTACGTGCTGGAGGTAATAGGACTTTTTAAAACTTGAAACTTTTTAAATCGTTTTTAAGGCTCGTCTTACCTAAAAAATATATTGATTTTCATTTTCCAGTAAAACCCTGTTAAATTGGATTAATACACTTTCATTAGAGTTGTACTATTTATAACTAGACATATTTTCAAAATTAAACATTACTAAATTTATAATTATTGTAAATAACATCTTTAAATAACTAGTATTTATATGCGTATTTTATACCTAGAAATTCTATTTGAAAGAGATTATGTAAAAGAGGTTATTCATGTAAAAGGATCTTCAAAAATAATATATAATATAATAATTATATTTGTATTCCAGGTCTTGAAAAGAACTCTGGGGATGGAGATAGAGACTCTGGACATGGTGGATCTCCTACGAGGGAAACTCCCAACGCACAAGACACAGATGATGAGTCTAGTTACCCCTATGATACGCCAGTTGCAACACCATCGAAGAAAAGCGGTAACTTCTGGAGACGCTTCACCATGAAAAGTCGCAATAAGCGGTAAATCCCTGAATTAATATTCAGGTGATAACTACCAACTTAATTTCCGTTTCTGTAACTATACCAACTTAGTTATTTGAGCAGAACTTGCAACTGTGATATATATATGAGAGAGGAAACCGAGTTGTCTCGCGTAAGCATTCTTCCCGATCATTTTTTTACTAGATTTTGAGAAGTTTTCAAATCTAATTGCAAAAACACTGGATCAATAATCTAAAATATCTAAAAAGAGAAATTTGTGTATAAAATGATGAAAGAGTTTATAATCAAAAGTCATAATTTAACATATCAAAACAATATTTTTGGAGTTCTTTTTTGAAAACAAAGAAAAAGTCTTTGTAAATAATAATTTACAATGTTGCAAATGATACGGAAACTTCTCTGAAATTCTGCGTACCCCATAAACGTTACACGAAAACCTTTAATGTGTACTTAAAATAATAATTAATTCATTAAGGAATACAGCGAGAATATTTAGATTGTAAGGGTAGTTAGTTTGAATAATGTCTTTTTTTTTTTTGTAATTGTGAAGATAAGGACGAGAAAAATCAAGTGGAAATAATAAGTATGCAAAGCTCTTCCGTCATACCTGTATATTGTTAGTATTAGCTAGTCAAACAGGTTATACAAGAGGATCGAAATATGAAATATTCTTCAAGACCTCGTCCCAATTTGATACTGCTGTTTTTTCGCAAGTTTGATACATTAAATATATGTACTACACACAAGAAGTTTAGGGTTGTTATATATTTTAATACGAAAAAATTGTATCTTTGGAAAAGAGTGTGAATAAAAAAAAAAATTTAGAATTATTTTTTGAACTAAAAAAGCACATTAAATGCAAAAACATCATTTTATATCGCAAAGTAGTCTTCGATTCTCCGAGAATATCTGAAAACAGGATTAAAAAAATTTCCAAATAGCAAGCAAGATACACATTATTATAAAGTTTGATATTTATTATATAACGATGTCGGTGTGAAATTCCATTGTTCCTACCATTCTTGGATACCTTTTACGATGTCAACGGCATTTCTATGCTTCTACGAGAGCATTAGAATTGCTATTATTAAGAAATATTTACCTGGTATGAGCCGTTAATTGTAAATGTATCATAATCATGGATTATGATATTAGACGTAAAGAAATAATTAAATAAAATTAAATAAAATTTCTTTACAAATGTTACATCATTTTTATTCTTCCTGGAACGAAAAAATCTTTCTTAATAACAAGTATAAAAAATTTGAAACAATGTATAAAAATGAGTATAAAATTGTACTCCTATAATGGAATTAATGGTCTCAGTGGTTGTTGAATTTAGGTGGTCTTTTTTCAACAAACGCTGTCATTCCTTCTTTCCTATCATCCTAAAATTTTAATTACATAGTTCAATTATTTGCTCATAAAATCAGGACATTTTTAATAAAGATTTTTACCGTTGCAAATGTGCCATGGAACATCTTTTTTTCAAAGTGAAGTCCTTCCTTCAAAGTAGTTTCATAAGCTAAAAGCAAAAAAAAAAGATATCAAAAATATAAAGATAAAAAAGATATAAAAAATATCTCCGAAATAGAAATTCCTAGTATAATTTCAATAATTATTACCAGTATTAACAGATTCTTTTGCCATGGCAACGATTAATTGAGAATGGGAGGCAATTTTTTCAGCTGACTTAATTGCCTCAGCAATAAGTCTATCTGCTGGGAAGACTTTACTAACAAGACCTGCAATAAACAACATTGAAATAAATTTAATAATATTTTCACAGTATACATAACAATCTTTTTTTCTTTATAATAAACATACCGCTTTTTTCCGCCTCCTCAGCAGTGATCTGATTTCCTGTTAGTACCATTTCCATCGCTTTGCTCTTACCAACTACCCTCGTTAATCTTTGTGTGCCACCCGCACCAGGTATGGTACCAAGGGCGATTTCCGGTTGACCAAATTTCGCTTTATCCCCAGCATAGATGATGTCACACATCATTGCTAATTCGCAACCTCCACCTAACTAATTATTAAAATATATTGTTTGATAAAGGATTTCGTACAAAAAGTATTTTCTGTAGTGTATTAACTTACAGCATATCCATTTACAGCAGCAATTACTGGTTTCGATGCTCGGGAAACACCGTCCCAGTCGGCAAGGAAGTTTCCTCTCACATTCTGTGCATAAGTATTATTCTGCATTTCTTTAATATCAGCTCCTAAGTAAAAAAAAATTGGAAAGTTAATTATGAAATTGAAACAAGTAATGTACTTGAATTATAATTTTCATATTATGATATAAAATGAGTTTTACCGGCTGCAAATGCTTTTTCGCTACCAGTAACGACTATGGCACCGATAGAATCATTTCTATCAAATTTTGATATAGCATCATTCAATTCAATCATTAATTTATCACATAGAGCATTTAAAGCTTTCGGCCTGTTTAGTGTTACTAAAGCCACATTTTTGTTTTCGCCAGTATATTCGACTTTGATGAATTCATAATTTTGAACTTGGCCTATTAAATATAACCTTTTATAAATTATTGTGTTATACAAAATTATACACTTTTTGGACTTTCAATTAAGTATATATAGAGGTTGTGATCTTTCTAGAAACTTTAACGGTTCCTTGTACATATTACGTAATGCTTCGGAAAGGAATCAATAATCGATATACAGCAAATATTTTAAACACTATATTTACTTTACTTATTTTATGTAACAACCCAGATAAAAGTCGAAAAAAATCTAATATCGATATGCTTATAATTATGGAATATTTAATATAATTACAATAGTATTGTTTAAACCTCATGTAAAATTCCGAAAATAATAACACATTTTATATTCTTATTCAAAAATATTTATGTAGAAAATAGAACCACTTAATTTTATCAAATATTTTTTATTATCATCAATTTTGTTCAACAATACTTACAACAATAATGTTTTACGTTGGACGCACAATATGGTAATTTTCGATCGATCTGTAAACTCTTGTTTAGGAGAATATGTCCAATACGTGTAGTTACCATAATGCTGTTTAAACTTATGATTTTAATAGCAATAAAAACACTTTTCTTATGGAATCAACAGAACGAATGATGAGATGAGTGACGATAAAACGAGTTCGTTCCGACTCATATCATCCAGACTGGATTCTAGCAGACTACACGATTAAAAAAGAGCGGGGAGAGGTGAATGTATATAGGGAGAGAGAGAGAGAAGAAAGCTGTGAAGGTTAGCAGAGCAGTACAATGCATGTTTATGAAGTGGAGAAAGCTATTTTCTTTTCAATATGTCTCAAAATATCTTCGATATAATACATATCTCAATTTTCAATTGAATGCTACTGAATGCAGTCGAATTCTATTTTTCTATCTTTAAATGTTGTCGAACAGAATTCTATTTTTAATTCTATTTTTCGAACATGTTGGTATCCACTGATACAAATATTTCTGTTTCTAGCTTCACAGCTATTATACGCCACTGTCCTCGCAGCTCCCCACGCCGCTCCATTGTAATTGTGTACTGTTATCACGCATTCGCTGGAGGCAGTGGTGTATCTAAAGTATTGTAAACCTTGATGCTTTTAGACGTGTACTTAATTTATATAATTTCGATCACTGATTTTATAATATTATGTTATAGTATTACAGAATTACTATAAAATATTTCATATACATAATTCATGCTATATTCATGTAAAATTTTCGGCTCACTACAGACATGTTATATCAATAAATTTCTGACTGTAAGAAAAATTTTATATTTGAGCAGGTTGTATGGAAATTGAATGAGAAAAACTATGAGAATATTACGATAACTGAAAAATTCCATTATAGCGATAAAGCGATTCTTATAATGAAACGGACAAGTAAGCAAAATAATTTTAATCTATTCGTTGCTGTATCTTTTGAATTTAAAGATTAACGACCTTGATGATCTCGAATGTAGGCAATCAATAGACTGAAATCTCTGTACATACAATAAGTTTTTTATTTCCTAAAAGGAATAATAAATTTGGAACTTTCATGACCATGATGTAATGAATTAGTTAATCTAAGTATTCCAGTCATAGGTATTCCTTTAATTTCGAATATTGTATTATTTATAGTTTTGGTTAAACTTCGTTTTGGTAGACATAAAATTTTCGATATTTTTTATATTATTTTGTATTATTTGACGAGTACAATCCGGAAATATTAGTTTTAATTATTGAAAATCGTCTGTATGTCCGACAAAACGAAGTTCAGCTCCGAAATGGATAACACAAAGAATTTGATTAAATATTACTCAGTTTATCTCAATAATGCTTTCTTCCAAACATTTTTTTGATAAGATATATTTGAAGTCATTTATCCATAAAAAATTTGTTTTAATAAACAAAGAAACGTATGTCACAACAAAATCATAAAAACGTGGACCTCTCGCGTGAATTTATCATCTGTAATAATAAAAATCTTCGCTGATCAGAGATTTTTTTTGCGTATCGTAACTTACGTCATATATAAACCGGATTTCTTTTCCCACTTTCCCTCTCCATTGACAACTTCGTTGATTTATATATATATGTATATATAATAAACTTATTATTTAGTCAGTATCTTGCCGGCCGATAAAACTAGTAAGTTTGCTGTACAAATATTTCAGGCATAAGATATCATGGCAACAGTGAAATTTAAAGATGTATCGCCATACAAAAAATCACAACCCTTACCACCTACGCAGGATTATCTTTATCAAAAGTGAGTAATTTTCAAAATTTTTAAGATTTATCAAATGTGAACACTGGGTATACCAGCTTTTTCCTTTTTTCCTTCAGATTCACATGGAGTAATTTCATTAAACCGATCATTAACCTGTTAACCGCGTAGTTCTAACGGTCATGTCGATTTTTTTCGTCATGGAATTTTTTAAAAGTAATGAGCGCATTACGTTTTACGTTACTCTTATCCATTAAAACCTAGCGTGATTAGCACTTTGAATATCCACAGTTTAGTTTCAAACGGCACTCTTTATAAACGGGACGTTGTACATTCTGTCGTGTGTATTTGAGTAAGCTAGATTTTCTCACTGAAATAGTCGAAAAAGGTGTAAAAAAATATGGAGACGAATCCCAGTCATCATCTATTAGCATCGGACGTTTTCCTTCAACGCTCAAACCATCTAGATTAATAGAATTCTCTCCTTAATATTCTTTTTTTTTCGTTACCTAAAAACAAATTTAATATTATAATAGATACTTAGAGGACCTGGCACTGAAGAAAGAAATACAGCATCCGAAAATAAAACTTGCCCTGTTTGGTGTTGGCCGTGCAGGTGCCATTCATCTATCCAATATTGTTAACAATCCACGTGTTAAATTGGTTTACATTGTGGATGACTATGAGAGTAACTGGAAAAACCTTAAGGAGTACTGGCACTTTGAGGATGTTACCTTCTTGAATAGTAAACAAGCAGATAAAGTGTACAATGATTCTAAGTAAGCAATGTAGATTTTCCTTTATCAAAAAATTTAAGAACAGTACAGAAATTGATAAGAATTTTGTTACTTATATATGCAATTATAACTATATAACAATATTGTTAATTAAATTTGTGAGAGAATGTACAGTTTAATTAATAATTGAAATTATTTTACATTCTCACAGTGTAGATGCAGTTATCGTCGCAACGCCTACTTACACTCACGAGGTGATCGTGAGGAAAGCCTTAGAAGGAAAGAAGGCAGTATTTTGTGAAAAACCAATAGCTGAGGATAACGTCAGTTCATTAAAATGCTACGATACAGCCAGAAAAGTCAGCAAACCATTGTTCTGTGCCTTTAACAGGCGATTCGATCCCAGTTATGCTGCTGTTAAGGAAAGAGTCAGGAGTGGGGAAATTGGACACGTTCACGTCATTAAAACAGTCTCTCGTGATTCTCCTCTACCTAGTATAGACTATTTGAAAATATCTGGTGGCATATTCCACGATTGTATGGTCCATGATTTTGATACTATTACTTGGATTCTTGGAGAGTATCCCGTTAAGGTGATTAGCTTCAGTTACTATAATTGGATACTGCAATTTTAGCTAAAAAGGAAGACAAATGAAATATAATTAAAGATAGAGATCATAATCATAAAAAAGTAAGATATGTATACACAGAAGAATGTTAATTAAAGTAAGAAGTAATTAAAGAAAACATGAAATTGGTAATCAAGAAGATTAATACTTCAACTCTGAACTGGTGTTACAAAGATTAAACGATCAATCTCACTTTTTCACTATTGAACTTCAAATGCCTATTGTGTTCTTAATGTAGCATTAGATAAAATATACTTTGCATCATCTGTGGAAGGTTGAAAATATTTAAAAAACCAAAATATTCATAAAATCCCTTTTTAGTTATGGTTCTTCGGAAAACGAGGCGTCAACGTAAATTTTGTTTCCTGTAACAATTTCCATGCAAATATTTGTCCGCAGGTTGCCGCCCAAGCATACGCACATATTCCAGAAATCAAAGCAATTGATGACTATGACACGGTAGTGGTGACCCTTTATTTCCCTTCAGGTACTTTAGGTATGGTCGACGTGTCGCGAAACAGTGCCTATGGCTATGATCAGCGTCTTGAGGTCTTTGGCCCGAAGGGTATGATCGTTGCGAATAACGAACAGACAAACGGTGTCAATTCGCACAACGGTGTTCAAGGTATAATCAGTGCACCAATATGGTATTCGTTCGCCAGCAGATTTATGAACGGTTATCGTCGGGAATTGGATCATTTCATTAATGTCGTACTCGGTAAAACTGAGCCATCTGTGTTACCCAAAGAAATTCTGGCTGTAAGTAAAATTGCAACTGCGTGTGAAGAATCCGTTCGTACTGGTAAAATGGTAGAGATAAATTGGGCACCGAATGAACTACTATAAACAGTATGATTACGTAGCAACTTTTTATCGTTCAAGCGTTATTCTGTCATCTTGTACTTTATAAAATCGTGATACATTCATACAATTCGTATTTTTTATGAGATTTTACGTTCTTCCTCGGTAAGCGATGGAAGAAAAGTCAAGACGAATTGTGATGTGCATGCATGCACGAGTGAAAAGACATAGGTGAATCTTGTTTGTTATACGCATTTTTTTTATCGTTATAATAATATAAAGAAAATACAGAAAAATACCATATACCCTAAATACATAATAACGATACAAAATTCACATTGTCTGTTATAGATTCGATTTGAACGCTTGTAAAAATGAAATAATAAAAGTTTTCACAAGTTTACTCATGTTTTTTTCTTTTTTGTTTTTAACTCTTCACCCCTTTAAAATAAAAAAAAAAAAAAAAAAAAAAAAAATTAAAAATGAAAAATTTTTT